TCCAATCTGCCTTTCTGCTGTTATCTCGGGACGCTTGTCCGAGAAAAATGGCGTTCGTCAGGTCCAGTTTTGTGTCCAGCCTCTCACGGGGATTTCGGATGCCCCAACGCCTGTGATGAGACGACTCAACGCCTGTGAAGAGACGACTCAGCGCCTGCGATATGTTATGGCGCCGTTTGATTCATAAACAATATTTATATTTAATATTTATATTTAAACAATATGAATGTAAGCCAGAGGAGAACTGGCCCCCGACTGAGCCTGGGTTCTCCCAAGGTTTTTTCTCCATCCAATCTGATGGAGTTTTGGTTCCTTGTCACTGTCGCCTTGCTTTTGGCTTGCTTTGAGCTTGCTCAGTTGGGGTTATTTAGTGTTTAGCAATGTTGTTGATCTGTGTTGTGCTACTTACATGTTATCAGTGTGAAGCTGCTTTGATACAATCTGTATTGTGAAAAGCGCTATATAAATAAATGTAACTTGACTTGACTTGACTTGACCTGGGGAATGCGGCACCTGTAGCCCATTTCCTGCACACGCCTGTGCACAGTGGCTGGATATTTGGATATTTCTACTCCAGACTCAGTCCACTGCTACCGCAGGTCCCTCAAGGTTTGGAATCGGTCCTTCTCCACAATCTTCCTCAGGGTCCGGTCACCTCCTCTCGTTGTGCAGCGTTTTTTGCCACACTTTTTCCTTCCCACAGACTTCCCACTGAGGTGCCTTGATACAGCACTCTGGGAACAGCCTATTTGTTCAGAAATTTCTTTCTGTGTCTTACCCTCTTGCTTGAGGGTGTCAATGATGGCCTTCTGGACAGCAGTCAGGTCGGCAGTCTTACCCATGATTGCGGTTTTGAGTAATGAACCTGAGGCTGGGAGTTTTTAAAAGCCTCAGGAATCTTTTGCAGGTGTTTAGAGTTAATTAGTTGATTCAGATGATTAGGTTAATAGCTCGTTTAGAGAAACTTTTCATGATATGCACATTTTTTTGAGATAGGAATTTTGGGTTTTCATGAGCTGTATGCCAAAATCATCAGTACTAAAACAATAAAAGACCTGAAATATATCAGTTGGTGTGCAATGAATCTAAAATATATGAAGGTTTAATTTTTATCATTACATAATAATAATGAACTTTATCACAATATGCTATTTTTTTGAGAAGGACCTGTATAGCAGTTGTAAGTCACTTTGGATAAAAGATGTGAATTTGTGGTACCGGCTGCATAGTTCATAGCTGAATGACTCAAACCCGAAGTCGATAGACTCGAAATGTGAACTAATCAATTTTGTATCCGGTACTACAGACCATAGTTCAGTTTATGAGGATGCCAGGTAGTTCAGTTTATGAGGATGACCAACTCAGACCACATGGTGAGCACCCCCTCTTCCAACAGCAACCTGGTTTTCTCAGGAGGTCTCCCATCCAGGTACTAACCAGGCTCAGCCCTGCTTAGCTTCAAAGGGCAACCAGTCTCAGGCTACAGGCTGCTGGCCACAGCTACACCTACACTGTACATCACTTACACCCTTGCCCTAATTGAATAAATGAGGTGCCCCATGCTTTTCTGTATGCCTCTGAACCTTTCATGTTGTCAGTGAATCTATCAACACTCTTGCACTCACTAAACTCTTGTACTCTTTTTGCTCTTCTCCATAGAAAGAACATCAACAATGACCTCTAGTCTGGCCTCTGGGAGATTTAAACCACTGATGAGAAGGGGAAAGTGTTCTTGACGTGTGACAAATTTACCATCAGTACAGCACAGAGTCATCCCTTACATTTATCATCATATCCCTGGACGTAGAAATTGATCAATGAGGATTTACAGAAGCTGAGACAAGATTCCCAATACACTGGTTCTACTGTACTTAATGATGACAGTTTCTGGATTGAAGACTTTGATGCTTGCTCTGGCCAACCAGTCTGCCATCACAGAAGAGTCGTATGGGACAAAAAAAGCCAGACAGTGCAAGGATCATTACACTTCAGGGACAGAGAGGAGGAAGACTAAAACATGAAACTGAACAATCCACATAAAGAGAAAAAAATAATCTGGGTCAAAATGTGGAGTGAAAAAAAGTATTTAGCATTTAGATATTTTTACCCTATTTAGGGAAATCTTATCTCAATGACACACTAGTGATCGCACCAATAAACTGCCACATAGTCAATACTGGGTAAATATTCATTTTTAAAAGGGGAAATGAAGAGGAAATCGTTGAAAGTCTATTTATTTTTTGTTCCATTGTTCCATTCAACAGAATTTTGAGCTTTTTACTGAAAAAAAACAAAAACAAACTCTATGATGAATATGGGAATACACTTAATTTTTCTAAGTGTAAATCGGTGTTGTATGCTATTTATACTTAGTTCAAATAGGGCCCAGTTTTATGGCAGGGATCTAGGAAAAAAAAAAAATGCATATTTAAAACATAAGTCTAAAGCCCTACTTATGCGAGTAATGCAACGTACTACTGATATTTAAGCTTTGCCACAGGGTGGCTACAGGTATAAACAATTTAAATTTAAGACTTTTTAAGACTTTTTAATACCACTTCTAAATTAAATTTAAGACCAAACTTACGATGGAAATATAAATTAAAACTGAAAATATACAGTAATATTTCCAAGTAAACACACTGTCTGTTCAAAAAATTGGTGAAATGATAATAACCAATTGTCAATTGCATACGTGCGGTCGCCTGTGGAGTGAAAAGAAATACAGAAGGCATTTTTATAAACGTCTTAAGCCTTGTATGTTTTAAATAATAAAGTGTATTAATAAAGGCTTAGATTTAATTTAGTAATAAAGGCATATAACCAGTTTATTTATAGTGTACTGATAATAGTTTCATATAATTTGTTTGTTAATTAAACAAATAAAAAGATTTTTTAAAAAAGACTGAGATTTGTTTGGTTTATTGTACCTTTTAATTAATAAATTAAAAAATGAATTTGCTATATTTCAGATCAATATATTTATTTTCCCATTTATTTTTTAATTAACCCCCAACTTTATTCTCATCATAAGAATTATAAATAAATTATTTCCGTATAAAATAATACTACAAAGACTTAAAAATAATCAGATTAGTGCCCTGTTTTGAGGACAAGAAATGAAAACCAATGCGATATGATGAATGTCCGAAAGATGGAACTCAGTCTCTGTAACGGCCACCTAGTGTTCAGTAGTGTTCATGACATGTTGATTTGCCTTTAAGACGCGTGATGTTGTTATGTGAGCGCGCACACTCAGTGAGAGTGAGAATGCTCGCGCAAAGAGGAAGATGACTGCCCTATCGCGGGTTTGTTTTATATAATAATGCGTTTACTTCCACTTTGATTTGTAGCGTTTTACAGAGTGTTTTCTTTAACCTGTTAACATCCGCTCTTTCGACATGTATGTGAAGAGTGTGCTTAAAGGGTTAGTTCACCCAAAAATGAAAATTAAGTCATTAATTACTCACCCCCATGCTGTACCAACCCCGTAAGACCTTCGTTCATCTTCGGAACACAAATAAAGATATTTTTGATTGAATCTGAGAGCTAGATCAGTCCTCCATAGACAGCCTGAGGGACTGCCTCTTGACGGCCCAGAAAGTCATTAAAAGAAAAGGTTTAAATATTCCATGTGCCTACAGTGGCTCAACTATAACTTTATCAAGCGACGAGACTACTTTTTGTGCGAAAAAAAAACGTAAATAACGACTTTATTCGACTTTCCATTACTTCCTTATGGGCGCATGCGCGAGAACTGAGACGAGACCGTTCTTCTTCGACTACTTTTTGTTACCGGCTGCTCACCGCTTAGGAGTATTAGCGCCCCCTACCGTATAAGATGACGTACTGATATAGCCGGAGGCGCAAAACGTTCTGTTTACAAGCAGTACGTCATCTTATACGGTAGGGGGCGCTAATACTCCTAAGCGGTGAGCAGCCGGTAACAAAAAGTAGTCGAAGAAGAACGGTCTCGTCTCAGTTCTCGCGCATGCGCCCATAAGGAAGTAATGGAAAGTCGAATAAAGTCGTTATTTACGTTTTTTTTCGCACAAAAAGTAGTTTTGTCGCTTGATAAAGTTATAGTTGAGCCGCTGTAGGCACATGGAATATTTAAACCTTTTCTTTTAATGACTTTCTGGGCCGTCAAGAGGCAGTCCCTCAGGCTGTCTATGGAGGACTGATCTAGCTCTCAGATTCAATCAAAAATATCTTTATTTGTGTTCCGAAGATGAACGAAGGTCTTACGGGGTTGGTACAGCATGGGGGTGAGTAATTAATGACTTAATTTTCATTTTTGGGTGAACTAACCCTTTAACTGAAAGAAAGCAACTATAAAAGGACTCGTGGAACTACAAGTTCGTTTGTACAGTCTTTCCTATTCTTCAAACTCTGACAGACGTTACAACACACAGACAGGGGTTGGATAAATATATTTTGCTTTTAAAACTGTGTTTTAATGCGAGTATAGGCCTACAGAAATATAGAGATCGCACTCGCGTGTCTCTAAAACACACACACAAAGGTTACGTTACCTTGTAGAAAATATTCGATCTGGCTGGCAGAACGATTGCCTTTGCCTGCATCTTTGCGGTGACATGACAAACATATTTAAGACTGAATTTAAGACAATTTAATACTTTTTAAGGCCTTATTTTTAGGAAAATTGATTTAAGACTTTTTAATACTTTTTAATGACCCGCGTCCACCCTGTGCCATGATGCACTATGCTACGTCTTATGCCAGAAGTTGCATAAGTTATGTTGTTTTATTATGTTTTTCTTACACAAACTCATCACTTTGCTGTCACGAACCACACGCGGGAAGCAGAAAATACAATTGCAGTAAGTTTAATAATGAGGGCAATCCAAAATCATAGTCTTCCAGGCAGGGGTCAAATATCAAAAATCCATCAAAACATAAGAACAAAAACAAGCAGGGAAACAGACCTCGGAAGTGGCGACATATAACGAGGACTCCGTAACGAACACTACCACAGACAGGGAATATATGTACACACAGATCTCACAAGGTGATGGGAAACAGCTGAGTGCAATGAACTGATGAGTGACAGACAGAATGCTGGGAAATGAAGTCAAATGTGATAGACACTGTGAGAACGAGGACCTCTAGTAACATCCCAGGGAAACACAAACAGACATGTGACATTTGCTTCAGAAGGCCTATATATTAACCATTTATAAGCCATGTGGAGTTATTTCATGATGGATGGATGCACCTTGTTGAGCTTCAAACGGATGGTTGCAATTCACTGCCATTATAAATAAAATACGATTTTTTTCATCTGAAAGTCATATGCACCTATTAGGGGTGGAGCCGAATCCGAATACGGTATTCGGAAAGGCACAAATAATGGGTTTTTTTACGAATACTTATTCCGAACAAATACTTAAAATATAAATTTGTATTCGAAAACAAGAAATACTTTATATCAAAAAGCTGCGTTCCTCACGAGACCGCAGTGCGCGTGTTGAGTGAGTGACGTTCAGGAAGAGGTGACCGAAACAGGCTGCTCCACACAGCAACAGAGAGGGCTCGGCTGAGCCAAAAAAACACTTAACTGCATCACTATTTTTGTTGAATAGATGTTTGTACCTTAACTAGGTTCCGGAGGCAGTTTATAACTTTCGGGAAGCGGAGTTTGATCGGTAGTATATTCCATTATTGACGTCTGTAGACGGATGCTCTCATTTTCGCTCTGTTTACGTAGCTCTGTTAGCTCGGTAACGGTAATTATTTGCTTCTTACATGGCTTGGTTGAATTCTAATGTAGAATGTGGTCTGTTATTATAACAGGGCGCTGCTTATAAGTATAACACAC